TAGTGAAAACAACCAAATGTAATCAGATTCGATCCAAATTCTCCTTGACTTTCCGTGTCACTTTATGCCATTTAGCAGATTCAGTTCCTACAAGTGCAAGATGATACATATTCACTGCTTCCGTAACAAAGATGATGTGTGGCGATTAATGAGCTAATGCCTATAATACATTTTCAAGCTTTAGCATTAAGACACTCTACAAATACAAAACACTTTCTCAACAAATCTGCATGAAATGATTTTCAAATAAAAGATTTAAATGTAGTTTACAAACGACTATGTGTTAGTGAAATAGAGTACCACACTGACTGGTTCTTCCCATTAATATTTCAGAATTGGTGAGATAAAATTTATCAACTAATCACACAGATAATTATACACTGTGATAAATGCTATGAAAATAAAGTAGAGTGCTACATGAGAACTGGGTCGGGGCAGGAGGTAGGTGCTTTCACTTGTTATCTCCTTTAATCTTAATAATACTTTTCTCAGGTTATCATCCTTTTCACACACGAGAAAATCAAGGCTTCAGGTTGTTAAGTCAATTAACTTGTTCAAGTTCACCCAACTTGTTAAGTGGGAGAACCAGGAACACAGGCTTAACTTAAAGACTATATTCTGTCCACTCGTCCAACATTTTGCTAATATCTGCACGGCTAATGCCCTCACCACACATCTCTGCTCATTCTCCTCTTCTCAATGAGGCCTACTCTAATCACCGTACTTAACAGGTCAAACTGCCTCCTTGTTTCCCTTCTACCCATCTCTTTTTCTTTAGAAGTGTTTATCACTTTCTAACATATTAGCTATTTTATTTATTGCACATATTGCCTATGGTCCTCTGCTGGGTGGTAAGCTCCAGGAAGTTTTGTTTACAGATGTACCCCCAAAACCCAGAATAGTGACTGATAACACGGTAGACACTGGCCCATTTTTCCTTTCCCATTTTCATCTTTAACTGTATGCAAGAACTTGTTTAACCATTCTCACTTAATTCCCAGGAAGATAAAGCAGGGCCTATATCTGAGCCAAATTAACACTAAAATAATAAATTTGGTGAAATTCTATTAAAAAAATTATGGTAATAAGTACCATTTAAAAAATTCTAGCCTTGGGGCCAGCCCTGTGGCTTGGTAGTTAAGTTCAGTGGTCCAGGTTCAGTTCCTGGGTGTGGACCTACACCACTCATTGGGAGCCATGCTGTGATGGCAACTCACAAACAAAATAGAGGAAGATTGGCAACAGATGTTAGCTCAGGGCGAATGTTCCTCAAGCATTAAAACAAACAAAAAAAAAGAGGCAACAGATGTCAGTCAGCTCAGAGCAAATCTTCTTCAACAACAAAAAGTTCTAGCCTGAATAAAAAGTGATGAAAGAACATGTAAAACAAACGATGAAATGTGGAGGATGCAAATTAATGATGAAAGATCGTGCTTAAGAGGGCTTGCTCACTTTCTATGATGGTTTAGAGGCTGAATGTGAGGCACAGATGAAACACAGGAATCAGAATACTCTAAAGCAATGTTTCCCAAACCTTATAGATTTCAAAAACCAGCTAAATTAAAAAAAAAAAGGTTGAAATGAAAGAGTTGCCAAATTTTAATTCTGCCACAAAGCAACACTGCAAACTAAATACAACCTACTATCACTATAATTTCATCAGAACACATTAACATAAAAAATGACTAATTTCAGTATAAAGGGTAGTCATTTCTATCAAGTAAATTAGATTCACAAACACTTCACTATATAAAAAGTTCCATGTGAATTTAAGATTTAAATGTGAAAAAGTAAAACTTTAAAAAAAAGCTGTAACAGAATCTTTATGACCCCAGGATAGACAAGACCTCCTTTAAAGATGAAAAAAAACTTGACATTACAATTAAGAACAGCTAGTCATCAAAAGATACCATATTTAAAGTGAAAAGATGTGCTAAGAGTAGAAGACATTTGTAAAACCTAGTAAGTACTGTTATCCAGAATACAGAGAAAGCATTTACAAATCACTAAGATAAACAATCCCACAGAAAAACCAAACAAGCAATTCATAGAAAAGAACTGTGAATGGTCAAAAAAATTAACAGAAGTGTTCTCAACTACAGGACTAATTGCTGAGATGCAAATGAAAAACTATATGGTACCATTTCATCCTCCTCAGAATGCCAAAACTTAAGAAGTCTAAAGTATTTGGAAGGTGGGAAAGGAGACTCTCTCATATCCATTACTGATACAAACACTTTGGAGAGAAAACTGGTAGTTACCTAATAAAGTTCAAGAAGCAGCTCACACCCCGTGTTCTAGCAATCTACTACCAGATTTATATCACAGGGCACGCTTTCTCAACAACAGCTTTTGAGTTGTTATAACGAAGGAGGGACCACTGAACAGATGCCAGGGACCCCAGGTACTCTTGGTACATACAGAAAATGCTGCCCTGTATCACACGACTTTTGAATACTCTGCTGGACACTCATTTAAGGGGCGGGGGGGGGAATAAGGTCAGATATTTATAAAGAAGACAGAGTGTATCTGTATTGTTTTAACATAGATGAAGATTTTTAAGAATGCAATCACTGAGTAAGTGAGAGGACTCAACTTTCATTTTCGTTCAAACTTTACTGAAAATAGTTCGTGATTTCAGAAGCTCATTTATCGACAACAGTGCAACCACTGGTATTTGAATGGGCGATTCAACACACCTGTCATACTCATGGTGGTACCACCCACTGGTACAAAGTACTGGCTACTATGTTTCTTCCAGCAGTGATTCTTAGACTCTAAGGTACACACAAACAACCTGAGAATCTTGTTAAAATTCAGCTCTGAGTCAGTAAGGTAGGGCCTGAGGTTCTGATTTCTAACAGGCTCCCAGAATTCTGATGTTACTGGTCTACCATTATACTTGGTAGCAAGATTAGAGCATGGCTGAGCCCTAGCATTTACAGAGTGAAATACATTACTTTGCTATAAATTGCTTCTTATATTTCGCTAAGGGCATTATCTTCTTTAAAATATGAATGTAAGCTTATTATTATGAATTTCATTTCAGGACAGTGTTGAGGAAGTCGTAAAATCTTTCTCTAAAAATGAGATAGAGGGTCAAGAACCACTGCCCTAGAGGAAGTCTTGCACATGTGCTTAGTAAACATATACAAGAATATTCCCTACAGCACCAGTAAATAAGCAAACAATTGGAAACAACTAAAATGACCAACAAATCTGATATAGTCATATAATGAAACACACACCATATTGCAGTAAAAACAAACTGGAGCTACCTGAATAAACAGGGATAAATCTTGTCAAACTGAGTGAAGAAAAGCTACAGATTCAAACATCATTATCTAAATAGTCTCAAAGCATTCAAAGAAAATTTATATAATATTCATGGATATAAAGGTATGTAATAAAGTACAAACACACGGATGGATAGGAAGGATACATATCAATTTCAGGTTAGTGTTCGGGAGTGGGGAAAAGAGGGAGTAGAATTTAAGAGGGGTATAAAGTAAAGAGGAAGCTTCATTTTGTTTTGTAGTTTTATTTCTTCAACTGAGTAATAGATGCATGGATATTCATTATATTGTATGTTGCCAATACTTATATTGCTATAGTATTTCTCACTTCACCTGAATTGGCAAAAACTGTTGGGCCTAGACAGGTGTTGGAAAACACTGCTCCAAAGGTTCAAGTCCAAAGGTTCAAATTTGCTTCTTACAAATTGTGTAGCTTCAGGCAATTTGAATAATTAAACTTCTCTGGGATTTATTTCATCTGTGAAAATGCCATAAAACATCACTTTTCCTCTCAAACTCACAAGGCTGGGTTTGAGAGGTATATAGGGCAATGTACGTGAGAAATTTTTAACAAGGTGGGAAAGGTAGGAGTAATTTTTGAGAACTAAGAGCAAAACCCTGGATATATTGGAAGTAAAAGCTACCAGTAAGTAAACCAACCAAGGCAACTTATCACTCTTAATTTTCTTGTCATCGCTGAACGTAAAGATACAACACCAATCTCAACATGGAAAAAATTTTGAGTTTCTCAATTCCTAAATGATGGCATATAGACGGGCATTCTCCCTACCATGTTTCTTTAAGCTAAGTGATCACCAAGGAGTTGAAATTTATAATACCAAAACAAAGCAAGAGAATTGCATTAAAAAGTATTCTATTTAACTAAAACAATCAATGTCACATAACCAGAGTAACTGTTGGTTCTCACTGCCCTGTCTATAAAAAGAGCACGTGGCATGTTTTATTAGCCCTATATTACAGATGGAGAAACTGACTCAGATGTGGGGTAGCTTGCCTGGAGTTTTAGACCAATTCAGTGACAGAAGTTGGAACAGACACTAATTGCCTAGTTCTGTGTTTATTAAGCTACCAAAAACATTACTTTGCCATGATGCTTTATGGTAATCTTGTTTTGTCACAGAAAACACAAAATTCTTTATCATATGTCATTTTGTACACATTTCAAAATGGGCAAAGATACTCAAGGAAACAAGCCACTTATCAACTACACTACTGCACAGCAAGGGACAAAATTAAAACTGCCTAGCCTGCTAAATATCTAATCCCATCCTTGCCAATTAACCTTATTAATATTAGAGTAGGAGAAAAGAGAGGTCAAAATGTGGGTGAGGGTGCTCTTCATTTCCTCCTGGACCTCAAATAATATAGCAACTATCGCACAACAGGGATTATGTTTCTTTCCTAAGTTGAAACATGGCTATCTCCACTGTTCTTCGTTAAGTAAGCCATCACCCCTACTCCCAATACAAAAATTTACCAACAAGCAAAGAGGTGGGCAGTCCCAAATTAGAACACTGGCAGTTATGATAATTATCAAAATACTGGATATCATATATCAGATATGTCACCCAAATGAGTTTATGCTATGAACATATGAAGAAACAAACTCTTTATGGAGAAAAGTTCATTTTATTCTAAGTCTTCCTGTTAACATAAATAGACGAACGTTATTACAACATGTACCTGACTTTTTATTCAGACTCATTAGGCAGTTTCAAATGCTGACACGAAATCTCCAAAATTCTTTATACTAACTGGAGCCTTAAAAAAAAAAAAATCAATGAATCAGGTTGCGGATCAAGTATTATATATGAGAGAAAATATTAAACAGGGATACCTTTTCATAAACTAAGCCAAAATTTAAAGGTCACCCTCTCTGTATTCCGTTATTCATCCTTTTGCTTACCAAATTCACCTCACTGATTTACATCAAAGCATTGTTAAAAAAATACTGGCACTGGCAGCAATCTCACCATGGATCAAAGCTCTGAATATTTTCTTTAAACAAGAAGCCGGGGTTAAACTCCTGCTTTACAAAAGCCCTCCACGACAGTACAATCTAACTTGACACAACTTGGGTTTCAGGGTTAAAAAAAAAAATCCAAACAAAACCTCTAATTTGCCAATTCAAAAACAAGTCCTGATGAGCCTACTCTAGAGTTCGAGAACAGGTAAGATTAAAGTTCAACCATCTCAGAAGCAGCCCGAGGACCCGAGGGGAATACACAGATCACCGGGCAGGTTCGTTCTCAGATCGAGGCTGGCACACACGAGGACATTCCGGAGAGAGCCTGCAGCCATCGTGAACCTCACAGCGAGCCAGGCAGGGGAAGGGGACCCTGACCCCATCTCTCCGGCCACGGAGAGAGAAGCGCCAGGAGATCCTTCTCTGCAAGGAAGACCCAAGACCTTTCCCAGTCTGTCTGTCTGTCCGTCCGTCCGTCCGTCCGTTCCTCCCCCGCCCCCTGACTCCCGCAGCCTTTCCGACTGCAGGGACCCTACCACCTCTCCCCTGCCTGGAGCCACCGGAGAATCCTCCCCCGAGCACTGACCCGCCCGGGAGCGGCTTGCCCGCGTTTCCCCGGCGCCGAGAGGGATCCCGGTCGCCAACAACAAAGCCGCCTCCCGCTCCCCTCCCCCGCGCGGCCCGGCTCGTCGCTCCCTCCCGCGCTGCGGCTCGGGCCCAGCGCCCCCTCCCCTCGCCCGGCCGCAGCCGCAGCGCCCCGGCCCCCGCGGCCCGCGCACCTGCACCTGAGCGGCCCCGGCTGGGGCGGCAGGCAGAGAGGGCCGGGCGAGAGCCTCGGCCGCCGCGCCGTCCTCCGCACGCCGCGATCCGCGCCGCCGCCGCCCTCTCCCGAGCTGCGAGCGGGCCCGGCCGAGGAGCGGGGCCGAGGGCTGCAGCCCCCAGCGCCGGCACGAACAAGCACCGCGGCGCCCGAGGGGGCCGGCTCGCGCTCCCGAGTCTCGCCTGGCGCCGGCGCTGCTCTTCCACACGGGCTCGCGTTCTGCTGACTAACGGCCCCGGCGCGAGGCGCTCGAGCGGCCACCGCCGCCGCCGCCGTCGGCTGCTCTCGGGCCTCACGTCCTGCGAGGCCGTGGTCGCCGCCGCCGCCACCTCCCTTTCTGGCACCGCAGACACCACCGAGAGCCAGCCAGGTCTTTCTTCTCTTTAATCCTCCCTGCGCTGCTCCTCCTCAGCCTGCCCGCCGCGCGGCTCGCTCTCGAGGCGGGAGGGAGGGGAAGGGAATCGAGGGGGCGAACAGAGCCCTCCAAGCCAGGAGTTGGTCACTGACTGGAGGAAGGTGCCAAACCTGACCCGGGCTCCAGCCTGCGAGCGGGCCGGGGGCGGGTCGCAGCCCCGCTTAGCCCAACCTCCACCAATCACAAGCCGCGCAGAGGAGTCGGGCGCCGGGAGAGGCTGAGCTGAGTCGGCAGGAGGCGGGGATTGCGGAAAAGAAGAGCCAATAGAAGCAAAAGCTCCCCGCCCCTCCGCCTTGATGGACTGCCACGTTCGGACCAATGGGGGAATTCTCGCTTCGGAGAAAGCGGGATTTACACGCCGGGTTTGAGAGGGAGGCTGTGCGGAGGGGGAGGGGTCGAGGCTGGGCCGCGTGGAAGAACCTTGATGGAACTGAAAGGCAGGACGGTGTCCTTTGACCTCCGCGCGGAGTCACGTGGGCTGAGGGGGCGGGGACGGAAAGCTAGATGAGTTCCTTCCGGGTCAGTGACAGAAGCGTCAACTTCGTGGGGTAGTTGCTGGCGTTTTGGTCTCCCCTGCATCTTCCTTTGTCCAGCGCGAACTGATTGTGGTTCCGGCGATGAGCTCCCAGAAAGGGAACGTGACTCGTTCCAGGCCTCAGAGGCACCAGAATACGTTTAGCTTCAAAAATGACAAGTTTGATAAGAGTGTTCAGACCAAGGTAGGAACCTGCCTGTTGCACTAAATCTGACTCCAGGAAGGAATAGTTCAGTGGAGGGGAAAGAGGAAGTGAGAGGAGTTGGCGAGGGAGAGTGTGGACCGCAGCCCAGAGTTAGTTTTGGCCGCAGTGCAACCTTTTCTAAAATGATATTCCCACGCCCTTTCTTTGACCTGAATGTGTTGTCTCCTCGTAAATATTTTTAGCCGCTACCGCTTAACTCATTGCGCAAAGAGTGAACGGGACCCTCATCAAACCGGAAATGCAAATAGGGAAACTGAGTCGTTGAACTCCCATCTGGGTCACATACTGGCAGTAGGAAAACGAGGTTTATGGAACGAATGTCACTTTGAAATTTTGCCCTAAGTTTATGCAGCCCCTATTCCTTTTTGGAAAACCCCAAGCCCATAGCTTTGTAGGGAGAGTGTGAAGGATTAAGCGTTCTTAGCCACAACATAGTGGAGAGTACCTGTTTCTTTTATAAGATGTTCTGAGGATCAAATTATTTGTTTAAAGTAAAAATGCTTGTTTTTCTGTTTATAAGTCGTTTACCTCTTTAGCAGGATTTCTGTAAACTGGAAGAAAATTAAGACTGTCGAGATAGCAAGAGGTCTTGGGTTGTGTGCAACTACGAATTTGCTTCAGGCATCTCTCCCTCCCTCCATAGCTGTATGTAGAGGAGATAATTGAAGACAAGGGCGTTTTGGGGGCCACCAGCACATCAGATAAACATGATAATTCACATAAATTGGAGTTCAAATTTACTAGGTGTGTGGCTTGAGTTATTTAATATTTAATTTCTCTGAGCCTTACTTTGGTCTCAAGTGAGAAACCTACCAGGATTGTTGTGTTGTGAGGCTAAACTAAATGATGTATATAAATGGTCTGGATCATAATGTGTCCAAAAAGTGATTAATTTCTCAACATTGATTAAGAAAGCAAAGTAAACTGTTTGTGGTAACCAGTGGTCTGCTTTTCCTCTTTCGGTCTTCACTAACTCTACAGATGTGTAATGAGCACCTTCCGTGTGCAAGGCCCTATGCTCATGTGTATACAGGGTTAAAAAGAGTTGATTCTGCTTTCAAGGAATTTATAGTTTTCTGGGTCCTTGGACAACAAGCAAGCACAAAGAGATATAATTACAAATTATGATAAAGTCTGAGGAAGGGAAAGATGGTTCAGTAAAGAAGAATAAGGAGGGATGTTTTCATTTGGGTACTCAGAAGACCTCTCTTTCCCTTACTCAGATTCAGAAAGAAAACCTGGGGCAACATTTGGGAATGCTTTCTCAAGTTTATGCCTCTTATCAATAGGTAAACCAGAATAAAAAGCTGTGCTAGTCTAAATAGATGTCTGTCTTGTCCTGTATTCTTACTCTTAGTTTTTGCACAAGCATTTGATTCTGATTGCTTTTCATTGGATGATAAAAAGCAGCTTTAATAAGTATTTAGCTACAGTGTAGCTTACTGCACTTCTTGCACTTGTAAGTACCAGAATTCTTGAACTTGTACTTCTTATACTAACACTTCTTCCTAGACGTCTCATACTTGTACTTTTCATTGTGCATATTCTTGGTGTTATCTAACAACCGTGTCATTATGGTCTTAAAACTTTTCTTGGATCTCTAGTTCAGTCACTAAGTTTCATTTTGTTTATCATTTTATCATTAATTCCTTTGCCTTTTTTAAATGGTGAAGAAGTCTCATTTGTCCATTGGTAGAACCACCAGGTACTTTGTTTTTGGAGGTTTAGACAAAAACAGCAAGAAATATTTTATTGAGAAGAGATCTTTAGGTTGATTGTTCATCTGTCTAATGGAGAACCAATAATTGGCTATGTTCATAGCAGATTCCTGAACCAGCTATGTGCAGCTGTCTAAAGCCAAGATTTTGTCAGAAGCATCTGACCCTGTCTTCATTCCTATGCTTTACACCAGAAAACTGTTTGATTCAGTGACATCTAACAAAGAGGAGTGGTAGGAAGTGCATGGTTCTCTGTAACTCTCCTTAAAGAATGGTGGTAACAGTTAACTGCTTGTACCTCATTATTTTGTGGGAATCTTACATGATAGCTCCCCTATTCCTCCTCTGCCAAGCAATGTGTCAGGACTTCACTGAAATTAGAAGTTGAATAATGACATGTTTCATTGGGAAATTTATCTAGAGAAAGCATCCATTCCCAAAAGGACACACGTGATAGCTGTCTTCATATACTTGAATATATTCTGGAAGGGGAGGGAAGCTTGTTTGGTGGCATTCCAAATGGCCAAACTTGGACCAATGGGTCAAAGTAACAGAGTTAGGTTTCAGCTCTCTATAAGGGAGTTGTTTAATAGTGAAGAACATGCACTAGAATCTTGTAAGCTCCCCTTCCCTGGCGTTATTGAAGAGGCCTCTATGGCCATAGGCCTGCAGTGCCCTCCCATGATTTGCACAGCTGGGTGGAGGTGGGAATAGGTTTCAAGCTCTTCTAATCATTTGGTGCTAAAGTGTTGATTGTGTCAAGACAGCCTTGTGTCTCTTACTGGAAAGGCAGTGATGTGTAGTGAAGAGAACACTGGACTAAGAAAAAAGAGCCACATTTTAGCCGCAGTTCTGTCGTTTATTTTGCTTTGTGATGTTAGGCAATTTACCTATAGCTTTTAATCTACAACACAGGGTTAATGCTATCTCTTGTCTTACTTTCCCTCAAGATTGCTATGAGGATCATTAAAAAAATATTTTTAAGAAATAGTGATACAAATATGAACTGCATAAAGCATATGATAATTTCTATGGTCTTGCAGTTGCTCAAAACCTAAAAAAATTACATGGAAAAGAAACGCATACTGTTGAAGAATATTGAAACAATAAAGAAATGTATGAAGTATAAAAGTGAAAGTACCCAGTCCTGTTCCTCTTCAGGTGTAATCACTCTTAACAATTTAATGGTATGTTTTTAGACATCTATGCACAATATAATACATATGTAATAAACTACATTTTTTTCTTTCTCATTCAGTAAGATGGGTATGTGAGAACATAGAGATTAAGCTCATTCTTTTTAATGGCTGTATAATATCTATAATATAAATGTGGAGTAACTTATTTACTTTCCTCTTAATAAATATTTGAGTTGTTTTCAGTTTTTCACTATGACAGAGCTGCATTGAAATTCTTGTATTTACATATTTGTTCCACATCTGTATCTGGTACCAAACGCTGTGCTAGATGCCTGGGTATAGTGTTGAGCATAATACACAGCCATGCTTCAATTGAAGCTTACAGTTTGGTGGGCAAGGTGACAGGCGTTAATCACATAATCTTTCAAGTATGTTAATACAAACGACAGTAAGAACTATGAAGGGAAGTTCTAAGGGAACTCTGAGAGTACCTAACAGGAAGTCTTGATTAAGTTTGGAGGGTTAAAGAAGGCTTCCCTGAGACCTGAAGGATGGCATTTGAGAAAACGAAATGGGAAGAGCGTATATCATCTTCTTAAGAGTGCTATTTATTTTATATGTGCAGTCAGCATTGTTTTTGCTGAAATTTCCCAAAGTGTTAGAGCTCCAGGATCACATGATCTTCTCGATAGGGCAGGAGTCAATTTCATGGTCAAATTACTTTGGAAATACTAAATACTAGATCTCACTTTCAGGAGGTCATAGTGTACGTTAGCATAAAGCACCGAGATGTTTTGCAGTGTAAAAAAGTTATTTAACCAAGACTTGCTCGACTATGGAAACTTTTGGTTTATATAATAACTGTTGAACTTGAACTAATTTAGGGGGAGGGGGAAACATAGTGATTTTCGGAAACTCTGGTCTTTACCATGGAATGGCAAAGGAAAATGAAAATCTGAGGCTGTTCTCTCTAAATAGTTTTGAAATATAGTTTTGTTAATAGTAGCTAATACTTGTGTACTTAAGTGTGTTAGCCACTATGCATACTTGATACACATTATCTAACTTGATCTTCAAAATAACCCTAAGATAGATGCTGTAATTATACCATTCTGTATGTTGGAAAATTAGGACTTAGAGGTGAATGATGTACCCACAGTGACATAACTAGCATGTAACTATTTTAGATGAAGTCTGTGCTAGAAGACCTTAAAGGACAAGTGAATCAAAAGCCGTTTTTTGTGTATGTGTGTTGTTGTTGTTGTTTAATACTGTATTTTTGTGTGTAATAGAAGCAGTGTGACACCAGATTAGGTCAGCACAGAGATGAGCTTTATTGCCATTGCCCGTAGACACTACCTGTTTGAAATGTTTCAGGAAAAGAGTCTCTCCTCACAAGATGTGACCCGCTGGAGTGTCGCATATCACAGATGTGGACCAGTTGGGATGGGTCCCATCTAATCAGCCAGGGTTCTGTGGGGCTCCTCTCGCTCACTTATGTGACAGCAGATGCTGATATAGTCAGGTCCCTCAGCACTGGTTAGGCAGGAAGCTGTCTTAAGTTTAAGGTGGTATAATTACGTTTATATAGCAGAGCAGGATTCTGTGTTTACAAGCACCTTTATTTGCAATAGCCAAAAACTGGGAGAAAATCCCCCCCAAAACCCAAATATCCATCAACACAGGAATAGATAAGCAGATTGTGTCAGTCATACAATGGGACACAAATCTGCTATTTAAAAAACCTGAATTACTGATACATGCAAACGATGTGGATGAATCTCAGAAACATTGCGTGGAGGGAAAGAAACCAGGTGCTTCTTCCAACTGTAGAGATCAAAGCAGTGGTTCCCTTGGGTGATGGCTGGGTTGACTAGAAGCGGCTCATAAAAACTTTCTGGAGTGATGCAAACGTGATCACAAGAGAATACATTTATTGAAACTCATTGAATTGTGCATTTAAGATCTGTGCATGACATCAATGTAAATTTTACCTCAATTAAAAATGGATATTACAGGAAAACAACTGATTAATTGCCCAGATGTCTTGAAGTTCTGTTTTTGTTTGTTTTCTTTTTGTTTGTGAAAGTTTTAGAAACACTGCATCTATCAATCCTTTTAA